CCCTCCTCACCCCGCCCCGCCCCGCTCCACTGAGATGGGGAATCAGTATGCAGTCAGGACTACCTTGGAGCGGCACAAAGAGACGCACACGTACGCAGCGTCAAGACTGCATTTGGGGGCCTCCAAGGTGAGGACCCCACGTGTGAAATCCCCAGTTAGCCAAAAGGCAGAGCCTGCAGCCTGGAGCCCCGCCTTTGCCCCGCCCACATGTCCTGCCCTGCTCAGGCCCCAAGACTGCCTCTCACTTCCCTCTGCAAAGACTACCTTGCCCAACACCTCTGGGGGTACACGGGAGGTGTGGGGGCGGCAGCAAAGCCTGCGCTGGCCAGTGGGGCATCCCAAAAGCACTGCTCACAGACAGCACATTCCAGCACAGCCTCAGGGGCCTAGGGGCTAAGGAGCCACGCTCACACATGCCTGGCACACACACCTGTGCCCCCTGGCCACACATGCGTGCACTATTGCAGAGACGCGCTGGCCACATTCACACACTGACGCACACAGGCGTCTGCCACCCGTCAGCACGGCATGCATGTACTGGTACACACTGGCTGCCAACACGTCCTGGCACACATGCACACACACCCTGCTGCCCACACAGTTGCATATTGTGCACACACTTTCACACCCCAGTGCACGTGTGTGTGGGGCAGGAGGGGCGGGGATGGCCAGCATCTGTCCATAATGGGTGACCCAGCCATGCCATAGGGTCATGGCCCTCTTCAGGCCCCCCAAGGAAGTCTGTAGCCCACCCTTGCAGCTGCTGGGGATGGGAAGGATGGACTCCTTCCAGCCAGCAGCACAGCCCACCTCTGTCCCCTGGTTAAGTGACTGGGAAGCTCACATTCCACCAGTCAGAAGCCAAGTGACACTCTGGGTACCTGGCAGGGACAGATGACATTCGCTATGGCTGAACAGCCATGGGGTGGTGCAGCCAACTCTGCAGTGGGTGAGAGACCGGTCCTTTCTAGGATGGAGCCAATGCTGACAGGTGGATGGTGACTTCCCCTCCCCCACCACAGGAGCCCAGCTCACCTTCCTGGCATGTGGGCCCCATGTAGCCATCCACACAGTGACACTGTCCACTGACGGGGTCGCAGTCGGCCCCACCCCCGCAGTTACAGTGCAGGACGCAGCTGGGCCCGAAGTGGCCCCTTCTGCAATCTGCAAGGGGCAGGGGGAGACAGACCTGAGCGTGATCCCCGCCTTCCCCAGGCCAGGCACCCTGGGCCTAGGGGCCACCAGCAGAGCCCAGGTGGAGTGAAGCCTTCTGCTTGGGGTTATGGGGGAGCTAAGATCTCGGTTTCCCCTGAGGGGTAAACAGTCCCTGCCCGACCTTCCTCGGCCACATTCTGTAGCCTGTGAGCCCCTGCCTGAGAAAGCCCAGGCCCCAGGTACACACCCAGAGTCACTAGGTGCCTGCCCTGCCCCAGGAGGGCAAATGGGAGCCAGTGGTCAAGGATGCCCCCTCAGGGCACAGCAGGCCCGAGAGCCACAAGGCCAGGTATGCAGCCCCAGCAGCAGGGCCCCTCCTATCCTCAGGTGGGGCCCTCTGGGCTGGAGGGTCCACAGCCTCCTCGATGCCCCCCATCCACAGCTGGCAGATCAGGGAAGTCTTTCCACCCAGCCGGGGGCCCCCACCATGACCATGGCCTTCCTGGGATGTTTTGGGCAGCCACGGGGCAGGGCCTGGCCTAAGTCTCCAGCAGGAGTGCCGTGCTGGGCACCACCTGTCCCAGCAGCTGACTCCACCCCCAGGGCACATGGGCCAGGTGCAGAGGCCACAGGATGGCACAGTGCCCAGCTCAGGACTGGCACAGGTAGGCCAAACTGATTGATACTGGTCACCGACGGAGACCCACACCCATGACCTTCCTGGGCAGGACCCCAGACTCACCCAGGTTACAGGTGGGTCCTGAGCGCCCAGGTGGACAAAGGCAGAGGCCGGTGACAGGGTCACAGGGTGCCCCCCCATCGCAGTCACACCGCTGGTGGCAGCCTTCTCCAAATGAGCCTGGCTCACACCCTGGTGAGGGCAGTGGGCTCAGTGTCCCCCTCCTGCCCTACACCCAGACGGGATGGGGCCAGGGAGTAGGGGTTCAGGCTGGGGAGGGGAAGAGGGCATGAGGCACTCACCCTTCTCACAGAAGTGGCCATAGAAGCCGGCAGGGCAGAGGCACCGGCCATTGATGGAGTCGCAGGGGGCTCCGTGTTGACACTGGCACACCCCCTGGCAGCCAGCCCCGTGGAAGCCAGGGGGACAGGCTGAAGGAGGACGCCGGTTACCACGAGCCCAGGGCATACGGTGGCAGAAATACCCAGTTTGCCCAGAGTGAGTAAAACCCGCCAATTCAGGGACCCATGAGAAGCCCCCTCCTGCCCCTCCTCACCCTTCCCCACTGCTACTGGCTCCCCGCCACTTCACTGCTGCCCAGATCACCCACATGGGAGGAGCGGACACTGGCTCAGAGGGGGCCCCAGCCCAGCTGCCCAAGCCCGAAACTCACAGTGCTCGCAGGCCTGGCCGTAGAAGCCGGGGCCGCAGCGGCAGGCACCCGTGGCTGGCTCACACGTGCCATTGTTGTGGCAGGAACACTCCAGATGGCAGGCGGCTCCGTAGCGCCCAGGGGGACAAGCTGCGGACAGAGCAGGGCGGGAGGGGCAGGAGAACGGTCCCTCAGGCACCAGCCTTGCCCAATGCTGTGGCAGCCCAGGGCACATCCCCAAAGGGATGCTGGGGTCCCGCGAGCCCCGCACACTCACCCAGCTCACACTGTGGCCCCATCCAGCCCAGGCCACAGGAGCAGCTGCCGTTGGCGGCATGGCACAGGCCCCCGTTTCTGCAGGAGCAGATGTGCTCACAGCCCACACCAAACCGGTTCTGGGGGCAGCCTGGGGACAGAAAGCAGGTGCTGCCTGGAGCTCTGACCAAGGGCTGGGCTCCCTCTGGGGACATGTCTCCACAGGTTGACAGTCAGCAAATGCTTCCTGAGGCCCGTCAGTGCCAGTCTCCACCCAAAGGCAGGGACTGGCACCAGCTGCACCCTCTCATTCACTGGTCATCTCAGGCTGCAAGTGCCAGGCCTGGTCTAGGAATCGAGCGTGGCTGAGTGATGGAGGGACTGGGTGAGCCTGCGGGAGGGCTTCCTGGAAGGCTTCATGGAGGCAGCGGCCCCCTGTGCACCAGCTGTCTCCAGCTTGGGAGTGAGTGTATATTCTCTAGGCCTGAGAAGAAGCATGGCCAGGCTGCCGTGGGCTCAGAGGTGGTGGGCCACAGCCCAGCTGCTATAGCCTGATACCTGATGACCGGCCTGACGGCACTGCCCTTCCTGGGAGTGAGGTGGGGCCAGACTACCTCCCGGCCGAACCCTCTGCTGCCACAGGCTCCCAGTGAGCCCTGAAGGCCAAGAACTGATGTTGGGGCAGCCAGCCCCGTGAAGTGGACTAAGGGTGGGACCAGGCCTTTGGTCCCTGGTCCCTGGGCCTGGCAGAAAGGGCCAGAAGGACTCTGCCCTCAGGCCGAAGGCGGCCACCAATCCCTCCTCCAAGGGGCCAGGCAGGCCTGCAGCCCCCACAGTCACCGTGAAGATGATGAGGTCACTGGGTTGCCTGAGCCTCAGGGGCCGAGTGTGGAGGCAGGGGCTGGGGTGGCGTGGGACTGCCCATTCCCCCAAGCAGGGCAGTGCAGTCAACACACGCTATAGCAGTCTCGCCTCAGCCCCAGGGTCAAGTAGGGAGCTGGTGGCAGCCAGGACGTGTAGGAGCCTGGGCTGGGCCACCCCTCCAGCGTCCCCCTGGCTAATCCAGTGACATCTCTGTGAAGGGCTGGTGAGCACGCCCTCCAGAGTGAACACTCACCTCGCTCACAGCGGACGCCGGCTCTTCCCGGGGGACAGAGGCAGGTGCCGGTCACAGGGTCACAGGCCCCCTCCTGCCCACACTCACACACATGGGTGCAGTTGGGGCCGGATCGGCCCTTCGGACAGGCTGCCAGGGAGGAAGGTGAGGGTGGCTAGCTTCCCTTCTGTCCCTGCCCGGCCAGCCCCGCAGGTGGGATGGGATGGGACAGGGTGAGGTGACCCTGTGTCTGCCCCAGACGGGGTGGGGCCAGCCAGCTGCCATGCAGCCACCCAGTCATCTCCCCTCCACCTGCAGGGGCCAAGCTGCTGCTGCCTGCTCTGTAGTGACTCACTGCGGCCCCTGCCCACCCCGCCAGCTCTGCCGGGGTCCCAGAAGTGGAAAGGCCCTGCAGGACTCAGGAAAAAGGCGTGTTTCCCCACAGGACACTAGGCCACAACTGACCTGCCTGGCTGACCTCTGCCCGGCTGACCTCTGTGCCCAGCTGACCTCTGTGCCCAGCTGTGCTCAAGCCTCTGGTGGACTTGGCGCAGGTCACCAGGCACAGCAGGTGCGGGAGCAGAGCTGTTGGAAGCCTGGTGGGGACCTGGGGCCACACAGGCACCCACAGGGCAGCAGGTCTGTTCTGCCCCTCTGTCTGAACACCGCTCGCGGCCAGGCCCAGCCAGAGGGGTCGACGGGCAGGGAGGTGGGCAGCGGAGTTGTCCTCCTGCAGGCTACTGGCCCTACCCCAGAGATGCAGGAGGTGCCACTCAGCCCTGCTGCCACCAGCCACTCACTGAGGCTGCAGTCGGGACCGAGGAACCCGGCGGGACAGCGGCAGGCCCCCGTGGCTGCATCGCAGGAGCCCCCGTTGAGACACCCACACAGCTGTTCACAGCCTGGCCCATACCGCCCGGGCGAGCAACCTGCAGGGAGAGGGGGCTGGCTGCAGGGAGAGGGACTGAAGGCTTCCCCGGTGCCGCTGAACACAGCACGGCAGCTCCCGTGAGGCCCCCATACACCCCGTCTTCCACCCCCAGACAAGGGCCTTCCCAGGGACCAGGGGAACTGGGGCCCAGCATGGCCAGCAGGACTCCGGAGCTCGTTGGGGGCCCGGGCAGCACTCACGTTGCCGGCAGTCAGGGCCGTGGTAGCCAGCAGCACACTCACAGAGCCCAGTGGCAGGGTGGCAGGCCTGGTTCTCACTGAGACACTGGCACATCTGCAAACAGTCCTCCCCAAAGCGGCCAGGCGGGCAGGCTGGGTGCAGACAGGCCGGGTTGGTACAGGCCCAGCCCAGCCAAGGAACGGGCAGCATCTCTGGATTCCCCCAACCCAGCCCCTCCTCCGGGTGGGGGCTTGGGAGCCCTTACTCTGCTCGCAGCTGGAGCCAGTGAAGCCGGGGGGGCAGTGGCAGGCCCCGGTGACGTGGTGGCAGGCAGCGCCGGGTGGGCAGCTGCAGCGTTGGGCACAGGCCTCTCCAAACCAGCCCCGCAGACAGGCTGCAGAAACATGAGGGCTGGGAGGCCTTCACGGTAGGGGCCCCTGGGGAACCACAGGCCGGAACAGGCCAGGAGCGGGCGCTGTGGGTAGGACCCACCAGGTGCCAGCTGAACTGGGGGCTGTGCTCACCATTCTCACACCTGGAGCCCCCCCACCCCGGGGGGCAGAGGCAGGCCCCGGTGACATGGTGGCAGGGGGCTCCCCGCCGGCAGGCACAGCGCCTCTCACAGCCAGGCCCGAATGTGCCCTCGGCGCAGGCTGCAGGGACAGGACAGACAGGAGGGCTGAGACCTCAGCCTCTGGCAGCCCCGCCCCAAGGAAAGTGAGGAGAAGGGAGGCAGGGGTGGCAGCCAGGGCTCAGCTCCGAGGTGACGGGAGCCAGGAAGAGCCCTGAGGCCAGCTGAGGGCCCAGGCCTCCCCCAGACAGCAGATCCAAGGGGACAACCAGCCTGTACCCAAGCAGTGGAGACGCGCCCCTGCTGGAAGGGAGCTGGTGTCAGGGGCCTGGGTGGGAGGTGGGGCCTGCGAGGAACGAGGCAGTGTTGCCCTGGTGCCCGAGTGTCTGGGCTCCGGAGGGGCTGAGGCCCGCTGGGTGGACCAGGCCCTGCTGGCACAGCAGCTGCAGCTGGACTCTCACCAGCCGGAGGCCCCCAGCCAGCACAGGCTCCAGGACAAGGGGTGAAGGGGCCTCTCTGCACACAGGAAACAGGCAGGGCCCCTGAGCCCCAGAGCATCCTCCATTCCACCCACCACTGGGCTGGCCGGGGCCACACACCCCTGCCAAGGCACAGGAGCGGCACTCCACCCCCACAGGTTAGCTTCCTGGGTCGAGACCCTCCCAACGGGAATCCTCGGTGCTCAGCCGGCAGCTGACATTGGCAGGACAGCAGAATGAGGGTGACCGTCCTCCCTCCTGGGACCCAGGAGACCCCAGCCCATGCTTCCTGCACACAGGCCTGAAGCCCACACCCCAGGGCACTGCCTCCTGATCTGGGAGCCCTCCTAGGCCTGCAGGCCAGGCTGCACCACCCACACTGGGGGACACCCCTTCTCTGCTGCCAGCGCTCACCCTTCTCACAGGCCAGGCCGGCCCAGCCCTCCGAGCATGCACAGTGGCCTGAGACAGGGTCACAGGTCCCTCCATTCTGGCAGAGGCAGGAATGTTGACAGCTGTCACCATACAGGCCGGCAGGGCAGGCTGGGGCAGGGGAAGAGGGAGCAACTTGCAGCCCCAGCCAGCTGGCCCCGTGGCACGTCTGGCTTTCCAGCCTAATGTTGGACTTTGGGGTCAGGGACCTTGCAGGAGGTGCCTCTAGGATGACCTGCCAGGCCCTTCCTGGACTCACCACCCCTGCCTGGAGAGGGGTGCACATGAAAGGCGCAGTCCTCGGCCCTAATACCCCCTTCCTCCCTCCCCCGGGTGCCAGGTGTTGTGTGGGCTCCGCATGAGGCCAGCACCCTCACTCAGGCCTGCACTCTGGTTCCTGGACTCCTGGGTGGGGCTTACCCCACAGGCAGGAGGGCCCCATCCAGCCGGGACACAGCGGCACTGCCCATAGGCAGGGTCACAGGAGGCCCCGTTAAAGCAGGCACAGACCTGGCTGCAATTACACCCATGGGTGCGGGCTGGGCAGGCTGCAGGTGGAGAGGGCTGGTGAGAGCCTGGCGCAGGCAGGACCCCAGGGGCTGGCAGCAGATTACAGGCGGCTGGGTAGATCTGCTGGGGTCCCCTCGGCTGCTGTCGCCAGTTCTCCCCTCCTTCTGGCCCAGGCCACCTACTCAGCAGAGTGGCCAAAAAAATGACCAACACTGGCTCAAGTGAGCAAAGCGACATTCTCAGGGGGCTGCCTGGTGGCTCTGGACACTCGGGACAGGCCTAGGAGGGAGTCTCCCACGGGGGACCCGGCACCCCTCCTGCAGCACCCTGGGCTGAGCGGGGAGCTCACGCACTCTCAGCACAGTGGGGGCCCCGGCGGCCAGTGGGGCAGAGGCAGGAGCCGTTCACGGCGTCACAGGCGGCCCCGGCGGTGCAGTTGCAGGCGCTGCGGCAGTCTAAGCCAAAGAAGCCAGCCGGGCAGGCTGCGGGCAGCGGGCGGTGAGGTGGAGGGGCCCACACTGGGAGCCGCCCGGCCCAGCCCCCGCCCGCACCCCAGCTCACCACGCTCACAGAAGGTGCCCCTCCACCCGGCAGGGCAGCTACAGGCCCCGCTGATGTGGTCACAGGCTGCTCCATGCTGACACTGGCACTGCCGCTCACAGCCAGGCCCAAAGCGGCCCTGGGGACACCCTGAAACACGCGGCCCGGCCCACCATCAGCCTGAGGCCCAGGAGCCTGACCCAGCTGTGCCCCCGCCTCACCACCATCCTCAGAACTGTGGGACAGGCTGGCTCGGGAGAAGCCCGTTCCCACCCAGGGGAGACTGAGCTCACTCACATGCTTTGTCCCCCACCCAGGTGGGGCCACGGGAGGCTTGAGGGAGCTCCAGGTGTCAGCTTTAGGGATGGCAGCCTCCCCTGTGGCTGCCTCTAGGACACTCTGCCCAGGCCTTCCCCAGTGCCACCAACCAAGCCTTGGGGGGCACAGACTGAGGGGCACTGGCCTGTCTTAAGCAGACCCCTTCCTCTGACCCCCAGGTGTGAGGCCTCCCACGGGAGTGGGACGGGCCCTGCCCCTTCTTGCTGGGGCTGTGGGTGAGCCTGGTGCAGGTTGGTGGGAGGGTGGGGCCTTGGTCCAGGCTGTGGAGTGCGGTGGTGGGGGCTGGGAAAGCTCAGGGAAGGCACAGGAAGGCAGGCTGGGACCAGCCCAGTGTGCCTGTGTGTACGTGCATGTTTGTGTGTGTGTGCGAGCACAGGACGGGGTGCGGCCAGGGCCAGGACTCACGCTGCTCGCACCGCGGGCCCTCATAGCCAGCCTCACACACACACAGGCCAGTGACGGCATCACAGCTCCCGTGGCCAGTGCTGCAGTTGCAGGGACGGCTGCAGTCAGGTCCCCAGTGCCCGCTATCACAGGCTGCGAAAGAACCCGGGGTCATCTGGCGCAGGCCCTACTGCAGGCCACAGCCAAGTCAGGCACGGGGCACCTCAGGACTAGGGCATGGCCTCCTGCAAGCCCCCATTCCTCCTGACCCCTGGGGGGCCTCTCCAGGGGCAAGAAAGGGAGGGACATCTGGACAAAGGGCAACCCTGTACCTCTCTGGCAGCTGAAGCCAGTCCACCCAGGGGCACAGCTGCAGCGTCCAGTGGCAGGGTGGCAGTGCCCATCATTGGCACAAGAGCACCTTGTCTGGCAGCTGGGACCAAACCAGCCTGCTGGGCACACTGCAGGCAGGTGAGAGAGGGTGAGTGGGGGCCTGGCTGCCCACCCCGGGTCACAGGCTCAGGGGTGGCTCCAGCTCACTCACCATCCTGGCAGCGGCTGCCGACGAAGCCAGGGAGGCACAGACAGGCTCCAGTCTCAGGGTCACAGCGGGCACCGTGCTGGCACGCCGGGCAGATCTCCTGGCAGCCCAGCCCCCAGCGGCCCTCGGGACAATCTAGTGCCCACCCCCCCATGGCCAGTCAGTGCCAGAGCTGCCCTTGCTCAACACATCAATACACATAACATGGCACGATGCCCCCGGAGCCACGGCTGAGGAGGTGGGACCACTGTTACCATCTCAGCCTGCCCCGGGGAGGGGAGAGGATCTGGTCAGCAGAGGCCCCGGGCACCTCCTGGGGCTTCGGGCTTCGAGGTGCCCACCCACAGGAGAGAAGCCCCAGCCCCAGGCACAGTTCTGCTGGCAACACAAGGAACCCAGCCGGTTAGAGACTGGGAGCCTTGTGCAGAGGGAGCAGCCCAGGAGGGCAGCCCGCAGGCCCCAAGGGCTTGGTGAGGCAGCCACAGACCCCTACTCCCTACCCCAGGCAGTGCACCATGACCTCTAGACAGGCCTGGGATCTGCAAGGCCGGGACCCCACAGTTCAGGGCCCCACCAGCTCGGGGCCCTGCAGTCTGTGAGGCAGAACTGGGGCTGCTGCTGCACTCACCTGCCCCACAGTCTTCCCCGGTCCTCCCCGGCGGGCACTGGCACTGCCCCGTGACCCCGTGGCAGAGGGCCCCCCCACAGGAGCAGGAGCCCGAGCAGTTCACTCCGAACGTCCCCACCGGGCACTCTGCAGGAGGAAGCATGAGGGGCCTCAGCCACCCCACATGGAGCGGCCGGGCCGGAGCCTTTTCCCCAGGCGCTTCTGGCAAGTGTGCCTCCCATGCCTCCCCACATGGGCTCTGGCTCTAGTCCCGGGGGAGGCGGGTGCTGATGAGCACAGCTGGGGTCCCCAGAGTGCCCAGGCAGCTCCCAGGAACAGGCAGGGGAGGGGTGAAGGGGGCGCTGACAGATGGGAGGAGCAGGGAGGGGCAGGGCCCGGGGAGCAGCCTGGGAGAGGCTGAAGCAGCTCCTTCAGGCCGTCCAGCACCCTGGAGAGCTCCCAGGAGCCCGAGTAGGGCCTGCTCCTCCTCCCCAACCATAGTCACCAGAGGACCGTGCCCTCAGCCTGACCTGGCAATGCTGGTATAGTCTCCCCTCCTCCTCCACCCAGCTGGGACCCCCTCACAGGGACTCCACCCTAGAGCTGGGGAGGCTGTGCACCCACTCACTGCACCCCCAGAGCCGCCCACCGCCCGCTCCCTGTGGGGTGGGGCTAGAATGGAGACTGCAGGGGACCCCCTGGAGGCCTAGGGTCCCCCCACCTCCACTTGGCAGGTGAATGAGACCCCAGGGAGCACAGAAGCCAGGGAGTCACAGCATCTGGAAAGGGTGACCTCGGGAGAGAATGTGGGTGCTGAGGAGCGAACCCCCATGGAGAGGGCCTGCAGGGGCTGCTCCCCATGGCCTGGCCGAGCCATGGGTGCTGGGAGCCCTGGAGCAGACTCTGTGGCACAGCTTTCCTCTGCCCGCCATGCCTGCCCTGCCTTTCAGGGCCTGGCCTTGGCCTCCCCCGAGGGACAACAGAGCGTGAGGCTGGGCCGGGAGCTCCGGTGGCGGAGAAGCCTTCCCGCCTGCCCCAGCGAGGTGCAGCCACTCTGATGCCCAGGCTGCAGCTGAAACTAAATTTCTCCCTGGGTCCATGATGCCATCGCAGCAGCCCCAAGAAGGCAGTTGACAGAGACCCTGTGCTGCAGGCCAAGGAGCCACAGAGCCCACGTGTCAGAACACCCACAGCAGAGCTGAGAGCCAGGACGTGCCCTGCCTGGGAGGAGCTGGTAACACAGGGGGAGCGCCAGGCCTGGCCCTGCTGAGGTCATGAGGACATACACTGGTGAACTCTTGTCACAAGGGCCAATCTCCAGGGGTGCCCGCCCACAGGGACACAGGCACGTCCCTGGGACTACAGGCTTGGCACTGAGCGTGCCCTAGGGCACTGAGCACTGGGCAGTGTGCACAGGGTGGGGGTCACTGGTCATAGCAGCCCCGCAGGGCCTCAGGGAACCTCTCCCCATTAAGTGGGGCAGATGAGTGCTGTCCAGCCCCAACGACAAGCAGGGGGGCTTTCTATCAACACGCAGGGGCCATCACCTGTGGCTTATCCTCGAAGCACCAGAGGCTCTGAAAGAAAAGAAGTGGCTGGGAATGGTGGCTCACACCTGTAATCCTAGCACTTTGGGGGGCTGAGGCGGGTGGATCGCCTGAGGTCAGGAGCTAGAGACCAGCCTGAATGACATAGTGAAACCACGTCTTTACTAAAAATACAAAAAAATTAGTTGGGCGTGGTGGCAGATGCCTGTAATCCCAGCTACTCGGGAAGCTGAGGCAGGAGAATCGCTTGAACCCGGAAGACAGAGGTTGCAGTGAGCCTAGATCGTGCCATTGCACTCAAGGCTGAACAGGTAGGGAGGAGCAGGGAAGGGCCCTTCCTTCTCTCAGGAACTAGGGGCTCTGGGAGCTGCGGAGGTGCTTCTCTGCGAGGCCTTCTCACTGTCTCTGGTGTGCAGAGTGGAGACTGGAAGAAGGGTCACAGGCATCAGCGGAGGGTGAGCTGCTGGTGTGCGTGTGCATGCACCTGCCTGCGTTCATGTGTGTGCATGCGAGCGGTGTGTGCATGTATGTGTGTGCATGTATGTGTGTGTATGTATGTATGTGCATGTTTGGGGGTTGGGAGTGAGAGGAAGGGTGGGGAAAGGATGCTAGGGAGTCAGGAGGAGCCAAGGCCCACATCCACACACTCGTGAAGCTCTAGGACACGTGTACAGATGGGAAGCCAGCACTCAGAGCTGCTGTCCACTGGCCTGAGACCACAGAGCTCCCGGGAGTCCAGGTCGGGGGTCCTGGCCCAGAGTGCTCTGACCCTTGATGGCTGGGACCAGGGCGGCCTAAGCTGGCTGCTGGGTCCTTGGGTGAACATTGCTCCCACTGCGGGCCCCTTCTCATCCCCCAGATGGAGGCGGCGGGGGGAGGGCCCAGGCTGCGGGCTTGAGTCTAGACATCCCCCGGTGTGGTCTCAGGGGAGGCTGGCACCGGGCTCGTGGGTCCCTCTCCAGCCCGGGCCATGGTCATGCTAGTCACACGGCAGGCCCTCCTGGCTCCCATCTCTCCCGGCCACTGGGCGTGAACAGTGAGCACCGCGCCAAGGGAGGCTCCCACCCGCCCAGACCCTGTCAGCAGCCGCCGTGGCAGCTCCATTACTCAGCCGAGGCCATTTTCCTTCCCCTCAGAAGCCGATGACACACTGAGGTATTTCCTACCCTGGTCATGAGACTGAGGAGTGACCGTCCTGCGGCTCTGAGCCTCAGACCAGCTTGGTCAGCTTTCTGCTTGGCCGGGACTGCACGCCATTGTCCTCGTCATTGATTGCACCTCCCGCCAGCACAAGCCAGGGCAGCCGGGACACCCCCACCTCCCCAGCCCTCTTGGCAAAGTCCCCAGCCCCATCACGCTGGGCTGCAGTTACATCAGGGAGTAGGTCCCCAAGCCTCCCGGGGACACCTAAGCACGGACATGGCCGGACATCTCTCAGCCAGCTCCTAACAACCTCCTCCCCTGCCTGCCACGTGAGCATGGGGCTCCCAGCTTTGTGCCTGTTCACACCCAGGCCACAGCGTCCATGTGCAGGGGCCTGCAGCCACGCCCCCAGGCCACCACTGCAGCCCAGACTGCTCACTGAACCGCCACCCCCATGGACAGCCTCTCTGCTGCCGGCTCACATGGGGGAGCTGCTGCCCCAGCCTCCCAGAGAACCCAGTCTGTTCCAGTCGAGCAAGGAGCGAGTGAGCAAGGGAGGAGTTTGGAGAAGCACCGACCCCTCTCTGGGCCAGGCCCTGGCAGACAGAGCAGTCCCTGCCCTAAGCAGGCCAGACTCAGACGAGCAGCCGCACCATTGCGTCATGACAAGCTGTCCTGGCAACACCAGTAGCAAGGCACCACCTGGGCCCAGGCAAAGGGGGCTGATGATGGCAGCTGTGCAGCCCTTCTGAAGCCCACCCCGCAGCTGGCAGGCAGCCTGGACCCTAAACTGAGACGGCCAAGAGGCCCAGGAGCCACCCACTCACCTTGGCCACAGTCCTCACCCTGGAAGCCAGCGGGACACTGCTTCCCACACACGCCACTCGCGGGGTCGCAGGCCACGCCTAATGGGCAAGTGCACACCTGCCGGCACCCTGGCCCAAAGTAGCCTGGCTCGCATTCTGCAGGCGGAAGAGAGGGGTGAGTGGAGCCAGCCGGCCCCGGCGCCCCCCAGTCCCCATGCCTGGACTCACCTGCCTGACAGCGCTCGCCCCAGAAGCCGGCCTTGCAGGAGCAGCTGCCGTCCCTCTTGTCACAGGACCGAGTGTGGGGCTGCACGCACTGGCACTCCTCCGAGCAGCCCGGCCCAAAAGCCCACGGTGGGCAGGCTGCACCCACAGAGCTGTGAGGGGGGCTCCCGGCTGCAGCCCCACCCTCCCAGACTGCTTCCAGCCAAGATCCTGCAGGGAGCTGTCCTCGCCCACCTCTCCTCCTGCAGCCCACCGCCCCTTCCCTCCCCAAGTGTCTGAACCCCAGGGACAGGGGACCCCACCAGGGACAGGTGACCCCACCAGGGACGGGTGACACCACCAGGGACAGGGTGACCCCACCAGGGACAGGGGACCCCACCAGGGACGGGTGACCTCACCAGGGACAGGGGACCCCACCAGGGACGGGGGACCCCACCAGGGACTCAGAGTTTGGCCTTGCTGCCAGGAATCTCCAAAAGCCAAGATGGGCCTCACTCCCTGCAGGCCTCTGCAAGAGGCCTGGCCTGGCCCTCATCTGCAGCCCACCCACCTCCTAGCTCAGGGCTGGGAGGCACCACGAGGTTGGGGACTGTCCACCCAGACGCGCTAGATGCCAGCACAGTTACAGTCAAGAGGACATGGCCTGGAGTCCACAGACTTCAGGTGGACCCCAGACCCACATCCCAGTGGGTGATCTGGCCGGACCCTGATGGCCTCATCCCAACCCACAGTGCGGGTAATAGGACACGGACCATCCTTTCCACCCGCTGCAACCAGCGTGGACACTTGAAGGGGCAGTAAGACTCACCAAGGTGGCAGAAGCGGCCATAGAGTCCCGGATCGCAGAGGCAGGCCCCGTAGAGGCGGTGGCACCGGCCCCGGTTGGCACAGTTGCACTTCTTGCGACAGTGCTTGCCATAGAAGCCCTTGGGGCAGCCTGGGGGCAGCGGGGCTCCGTAAGAAGCTGGGTGACCCCCCACCTTAGAGGATGCTCGGGGCCCAGCACGGGAGCCGGGAGCAGCCCCTGCCGGGCACCTGGTGAGTCTCCCAGATGTGGCTGTCTGTGGCCGTCTGCCCTGGCTGGCCCATCCCCTACCTCCCCTGCCCCCGGGGTTCATGGCAAGGGCAGGTGGAGGAGCACATTCCTTGGCCCACACTGGAGATGCACAAAGCTCACACCTCACTCTACCCAGAGTCTGGCCCACATCAGGAGCCGCCTGGCTTCTGTCCCATGGTGGTCGCCAAGCTTGACCTCAGAAGCTCAAAGCTGGAAGGACGCGTGGCCCCAGTGACCAGGTCCCAGGCCCAAGCCACAGGTGGCCCCAGAGCTAGAAACGTCCTCGCCTTTGTTACCCAAATAATTCCCTCCTGCTGGGTCCCGCCCCATGTCCTTCCTCCTCCCAAAGGCGGGAATAAGCTGAAGGTGCCCCCACAGCTACATCCACCTCCTAGTCCCCCAGGCCGGAGACGAGACCCATCCTGTGTTATCCAGGTCGGCCCTGAACCCAAAGACAGATGTCTTCACTGGAGCGGCAGACAGGGGCTGACACAGAAAGAGGAGGCCTGGAGGAGAGGAGGTGACCCCTTGCTGCCCCAGGCAGCCTGGATGGTGCAGTATAAACCCAGGGGCGCAGCACCCGGGAATGTGTACGGGGCTGGTGAGCCCGTCCCCCTGCATGGGCCTGGCAGGCCTTCCTGGGACTCAGCTCCTCGGTCACCTACACAGGGGCCTTTTCCCTGTTGGGGCATCTAATGACCCTCCACAGGACCCACCGGAGACCCAGGTCTCCGGGAAGTCATCGGACATCGCAGAGCAGAAGTGCCAACACTCAGATCCCCCGCCTGCCGCAGGCGCCCAGCCCTCATACAGCTCCTAACAGGCAGTGCGTCCCCAGCACTCTGCAGAATAGAAAGGGCAGACTGCAATCGGGGAAGGGAGGCAGGCTCACAGGGAAGAGGCAGGAAGCCCTGTGCGGCTGCCCGGGGTTGCCCCCGCACCAGGCAAGCAGCCCTGCAGAGCACAGCACATACAGCCGGGGAGCCTCACAGGGCCCCATGGGCGTGGGGGACAGGTTCTGTGGTTGGCTCTCCTCCATGAAGGCAAGAAGATTATGAGATGTTAGCTGCATTCTCCAGGGAAAAAGGCAGACAAGACCTAAATATGAAGCTCTAGCCACCCAGGAAACACTTCCTGGACTAGTTCCCCAGAAAGGCTGAAACTTCTGAATGAGTAACATCCCCAGCAGCCGGCGGCCCCTGAGTAACCCCTTCTGCAAACCTCACCCAGCCACCACTCCACCACACAGCTCTACTTGAATGCTTCCAGGGACAGGGACCTCACTGCCTCTCAAGGGAACCCATTCCAAAAGTGTTGCTCTGTAAAGTTCTACCATTTTCTGCAGGTAGGCCCTGGGAAAATTAGCAACAATGAAAAAGCAACCCCTCTCTCACTGGAGGGCCTCATTCCCTCCCAGGCACGGCCTGGAGCTCTGGAGATGGGAGGCAGGAAGGGAAGGGAGTCTAGGGGAAGTTTGGTGGCACTTTCCCTGCTCCAGTGGGAGAAAGGAGCCTAGGAGGAGGCAGAGGGGTGGCACCTCCCACTGCCCTTGCAGCCCAGGGATAATTCCAGAAGCACCGGAAGGGGCTCACGCACCGTCCTCACAGTTGGTCCCACTGACACCCGGGGGACAGCGGCAGGCCCCCGTGACAGGGTCGCAGGTCCCACCATTCTGACAGCTGCAGGAGAAGCTGCAGTTCTTCCCGAAGGTGTCCGGAGGACAAGCTACAAAGAGTAGCAAGGAAGCGCCAGGGTCACCAGGCAGCACAACACTCTGAGGCCCCTTCCTAGAGTTGGAGGCTCTGGGTTCAGAAGCAATTGCCTAGAGCAAAAAACGATGGTGCTTGTGCCGCATCACCCCTCCCGTGCTCGTGGCAGACATCACTAATCGATGACCATCTCCTCTCTCTGAACGCCAGCACGCCTGCTGATCTTTTTAGATGGGCTCTTTCAAACAGGCAGAGCCTCACGGACAGTTGTCAGGGGTCCCTGTGGCCATGTGAGCTAGAGGAACCTCACCTGCCCCCTGCCGTTCAGCAGACACCCCTCACTGTCTTAGTTACTTGCTGGCTCGATGGTTGCCAGGCCGTGAAGACCGACATTTAGGAGGGACAAAGACGCGGGCTTGCTTGTTCCCAGGGAATCCTTACTGCCTGGACAAAGCGGGGACAGGCAGGGGATGTTCATCAAAGGAATGAACAAATGAATGAATGAATGGGTCTGCACGGAGCCCCCTGCCCAGGGCTAGCAGGAGGGAGCAAAATTGAATGGGTTCAAAGGGCTGTCCCCAGGTCTTGCAGCTCAGAGGCCCCTTCCTGGCCCACGGCCCCTGTCCAGCAGCCTCACTCTCATTGCAGATGAGCCCAGTCCAGCCCTTGGGGCAGTCACAGCCGTCCAGGCCTGGGAGGCAGGTCCCTCCGTTCCTGCAGTCATCACAGGTCAAGCTGCAGTCGTGGCCAAAGGAGTCATCCAGGCAGACTGGGGGACAGACCAGGATGGGGGCTCAGAGCCTGATCCCTACCCTCAGCAGAGGGGGCAGACCAGGATGGGGGCTCAGAGCCTGACCCCTACCCTCAGCAGAGGGGGCAGACCAGGATGGGGGCTGAGAGCCTGACCCCTTCCCTCATCAGAGGGGGCAGGCCAGGATGGGGGGCTCAGAGCCTGACCCCTACCCTCAGTAGAGGGGGCAGACCAGGATGGGGGCTGAGAGCCTGACGCCTGCCCTCAGCAGAGGGGGGCAGACCAGGATGGGGGCTCAGAGCCTGACCCCTACCCTCAGCAGAGGGGGCAGACCAGGATGGGGGCTCAGAGCCTGACCCCTTCCCTCATCAGAGGGGGCAGGCCAGGATGGGGGGCTCAGAGCCTGACCCCTACCCTCAGCAGAGGGGGCAGACCAGGATGGGGGCTGAGAGCCTGACCCCTACCCTCAGCAGAGGGGGGCAGACCAGGATGGGGGTTCAGAGCCTGACACCTGCCCTCAGCAGAGGGGGGCAGACCGGGATGGGGGGTTCAGAGCCTGACACCTGCCCTCAGCAGAGGGGGGCAGACCGGGATGGGGGGCTCAGAGCCTGACCCCTACCCTCAGCAGAGGGGGGCCGACTGGGATGGGGGACTCAGAGCCTGATACCTGCCCTCAGCAGAGGGGGGACAGACCAGGATGGGGGTTCAGAGCCTGACACCTGCCCTCAGCAGAGGGGGGCAGACCAGGATGGGGGCTCAGAGCCTGACACCTGGCCACAGCAGAGGGGGGCAGACCAGGATGGGGGTTCAGAGCCTGACCCCTGCCCTCAGCAGAGGGGGGCTGACCAGGATGGGGGGCTCAGAGCCTGACACCTGGCCACAGCAGGGACAGCAGACCAGGATGGGGGTCAGACCAAGATGGAGGGGTTCAGAGACTCACCCCTGGCCTCAGCAGGCACAGAGGCTCAGCTCAGACCCTCAGGCCAGGGAAGGGGCATAAGGGGCATCCTCGGCCCCAAAAGGGTGACGTGGGGCAAATGCCGGGGCCAGAGGAGCCCTAACCTAGGAGCCGTGCAAAGGGAGCCAGTGGCTCAGCCTCCCTGGGTCTTGGTCTAACACGGCATTGCAGGGGTCCTTCTTCACGTCCCCAACCTCTGATTGAATGGCAGCCTAGCCCGAGGGGCCTCTGGCTGGCGGCCCTGAGAGCAGAAGCCCCCGGGGCGGACCCTGCGCTCACCAAACTTCTCTGTGAGTGAGTGTTCGCCCCGCAGCTCCGCCTCCTCCTCGTCAGCCCCGATGTAGTCGTCCTGGAAGAGGCGAGGCCGCTCATCGTGAAGCACGGCGATGTGGGGCAGGGGCCGCACAAAGGGCAGCTCACCGTCCAGGTCCACCACTGGCTCCTCCAGTGCTGCCGGACACAAAAGCCCCTCAGCCCCTGCCACCACCTGCCGGCCCAGTGACTCCTCCGCCAGGTGGGGCTGGGCCCGAGCCCCACTCCAGGGACCCCCGCCAGCCTCCCACTGCCTCCACTACCCCCAGCTCCTCAGCCTGGTCCTGGGGTCATCCCAGCTACACCTGATCCTCCTTCTCAGGACAGAGAAGGCTTCAAGCCCTGAGGACCTGAACCCTGGCCCTCTGCCCCCAGCCCCACCCCAGATCTAGGAACTCTGGGGCCTAGAGGGGTCAGGCTGGGAGAGGGGTTGGGCTGGGAGAGGGGTCGGGGCGGGAGAGGGGTCGGGCTGGGAGCAGCAGCCATCAGTCCCAGGGACAACAGTAGCTTAGGTCGTGGCCCCTCCTCTCACCTGGTCAGGACAGGTGCTGGGTTCCAGGAGGATGCCTGTCTTGTCAGCTTTCCCCACCCCACTGTCCCCAACCCACACAGCGCTCAGAAGAGGCAGGACCTCGGTGGGTCCCCAGGGGCCCGATGGCCTCTGAGGTGGTGCAGGCCCAGAGAGGCCAGGGGGCAAAGGATCCCAGGCAGGTGGGTGTGGGGCCAGCCAGGCCTGCGGGACACAGGGTCAGCTGGGGCAAACTCTGAGAAGGCAGAGGCCCGTGCTCCGAGGAGGGCGGGGGACTCACGGCTGCAGCCCCTGCGGTCCTCACGCAGCCGGTGGCCGGCCTCGCAGGAGCACTGGAAGGAGCCGGCCAGGTTGGTGCAGTGGTGCTCACAGCCGCCACGGCCGGAGGCGCACTCATCCACATCTGCGGGGACCCGAGGCTGCTGAGGCCTGTGCTCCCGGGAGGGGAACCAGGGAGGCCCCTGCCCACCCAGTCCCACCCATGGGCTGAAGCCCTGGTGGCCCCCCGACTGGCTCATCTCATGAGGCAGCCAGTAAAACACACCCCCAGCCACAGTGGACGCTCTGGCCGTCCTTCCGCCCCAGGATCAGAGCCACGGCAGACACCTGCCAGAGGGAGGCCAGGCTGAGAGGGGCCGGTCAGGCAGCAGCTGGGGGGACAGGCCCAGCTCCAGGAGAGAGTGGCCAGTGACCTCAGGCCAGAGAGGCCACAGAGAGGAAGGGGGCGGGTCAGCACAGCCCTGCACACAGCAGGCGCTCAGCCAGCACCCATGGCCCTGCACGCAGCAGGCGCTCAGCCAGCACCCACGGCCCTGCACGCAGCAGGTGCTCAGCCAGCACCCGCACCCCTGCATGCAGCAGAGCACAGAGCAAGCCGACCCCATGCCCACCACCAGGGGACCAGAGCCAAGCCCGTGTCCTTCCTCAGGGCGACCCCGCTCCCAGGCCCCCTCGCTGCGCAGTGGCAGGGCGGCGCTCACCCTCGCAGCCGCAGCCATCGGCACCGAGCCGGTAGCCGGCGTAGCAGCCACACTCGTACCCGCCGGGGCTGTTGGAGCACACCTGCTGGCAGCATGGGTCGTCTGCACAGTCGTCGACATCTGTGGGGCACACAGCACAGGCCCCCCTGGTACCAGGGAGCTGCACACACACACCCCCACTCACACACAACTGCACGCAACCGCACACAACTCACACGCCTGACTGCACTGCACCTGCCCACAATTCACATGTGCACACCTACATAGGCGGCACCTGCAGAGTCACACCCACCACACAACCACACCCACACACACGTGTTCCCGGTCTTGCACCCACCACGCAACCACACCCACACACACACGTGTTCCTGGTCCCACATATGCAGACACACACGGGCACACGTCATGGCCCCGGGCCACCTGCCTGCCTGCCGTGAACAAGGTGGTGGCACTGGGCTGGACTGGGGCTGAAGGGTGGGGACTCCGTCTGGGAGTCACAGTCTGGGGCGTGACTCCCATGACACTGGGACCTCCCCAGGTGATGGGGTGGTGCTGAGGAGGTACTGATGGGGCTAAGGGGGTGCTGTGGCCGTAGGCGTGGGCCTGGCAGCCCGATGTGGGACCCAGGGTCTTTCCTGGGCCAGGATGCTGCCTGTCAGGCCTGCCCTACCACCACGCTTGGGCCCAGGCAACCAGACCAGGACTCAGGGAGACAGAAGAGGACCTCCAAGTCATGGCATGGAACTGGTCCCAGACTCAGGGTGGCAGCAGATCCCTGGAGCGGGGGTGCGGGCATCTGTGAGGAGCCAGCACGCACCGATGCAGGTCCTCTGATCTGCGTCCAGCTCGTAGCCGCGGGGACAGGTGCACAGGGGCCCGGCACTGGTGTGGCTGCAGCCATGGGAGCAGCCGCCATTGTTGGCCTCACAGCTGTTCACGATCTCCATCTCGATCCCTGCCACGAGACCAGTCACCCGGCATGTGGGGTGGTGGCTGGGATGCCCCCACCTACCTCGGTTCCCCCCACCTTCACCCAGCAGCCAGCCTTGAGCCTGGGGACACCAGCAGGAAGCAGCAACATGGAGCTCCCAGGCCTTGCCGGGTCTATGACTCCACGCCTACCAAGGGCGCACACCCTGGGCTGCCCCTGACAGACAAGGAAGCCCTGCCCTTCTGCCAAAGCAGGCCTTGGGGTCCTGGGGGACAGCACCACCATCCCGGGCACCTCCAGCCCGCTGCCGGCTGCCCACTCACGGTAGCACTGCCGGCCATCGGCACCCAGCTCGTAGCCCGCGCGGCACACACACTTGAAGGACCCCTGGGTGTTGAGGCAGCCGTGGGCACATCGGGCCAGCCCTGCAGCACATTCATCCACATCTGGAGGGGGAGACCGCGGGGAGGGCTCAGAGGTGCCGGGAAGGGCCAGTGGAAGGCAGCACATGGCCTGCTGACACCCAGGGTCTGCGGCCGCGTGACACAGGTGTTCAGGGCCAATTCCACTGCCCCTGACGACCACTAGTTACAACCCTGCAGGTGCCCTGGGATGAAAAAGCTGGCATCCACACAGGTCCGCACGGGTCTCATGCTAAGCCCATTGGGTGACCAGGCGCCGTTACCCCGGCAGCACTTTCCTGGTGTCCTTGAAGACGTGGAGCCACGCACCAGGACACCCCAACCAGCAGAGTGCTTGGTGATACGGTCTGGCTGTGTCCCCACCCAAATCTCATCGTGAATTGTGACTCCCACAATTCCCACATGTCCTCATGGGAGGAACCCGGTGGGAGGTGATTGAGTCATGGGAGTGGGTTTTTCCTGTGCTGTTCTCGTGAAGTGAATGAGTCTTCTGAGATCTGATGGCTTTAAACACGGGAGTTTCCTTGCACAAGCTCTCTCTGCCTACCGCTATGGTCGTGAGATGCGACCTGCTTCTCCCTGCCTGCCACCGTGATTGGGAGGCCTCCCAAGCCACGTGGAACTCTAAGTCCACTAAACCTCTTTCTTTAGTAAATTGTCCAGGCTTGAGTATGTCATTGTCGGCAGTGTGCAAATGGACTCATACCCTTGGAAACTGACCACTGCCTGGTCTAGACACACCCAAAGCCTCAAAGACTCCCCCGTGGGCCACCAGGGTGGCGGCAGCCAAACCCCTCCCCAAGGCTGCTCAGAGGAGGCCGGCCCGCCGGCCCACCAGGGGAAGAATCAGGGACACCCAGAGGTGCAGGGGCGGGGTTATCAATAAACGCCGCCAGCCCTGCGGCAGAGGACGGCGTGGGCGAGGGTGCTGCAGTGCGTCTAGACAACAGCACCTCCCTGTGACCGGATTCCAAAAAAGCACATTCACAACCAGCCCCAGTGACATGGCAGAAACCCGTCCCCTCCACCCAGGTGTGTCCGGGGCTCAGTGACAATGTCACCTTTTTCCTTTATGTTCTTTTATTATTTATTTATGTTGAGACAGGGTCTCGTTCTGTCACCCAGGCTGTAGTGCAGTGGTGCAATCATGGCTCACTGTAGCCTCAACCTCCCGGGCTCAAGTGACTCCTGCCTTAGCCTCCCGAGGAGCGGGGACCACAGGTGTGCACCACCATGCTCAGCTATTCAGGTTTTCTTATTTTTTTGTAGAGGCAGGGTCTCACTATGTCGCCCAGGCCGGTCTTGAACTCCTAAACTCAAGTGATCCGCCCACCTTGGCCTCCCAAAGTGCTGCAATTACGGGTGTGAGCCACAGCGCCCGGCTCACTCCTCCTTCCCCTCACGCATACCTTTAGTTTTCCTGACAAGCAGACACTACTTAGGAAATACAACAGTTTAAAAGCTATGAGCAACACCTGAGCTCCCTGGCGCACTTCTGGTGAAATGAGCCTTGGGCTGGAAGCAGCTTTTGCAAGCCTTCATACCCTCACCCTCAGCCCCCAGCAGTGGAGAGGAGACCGCCACATCCCAGGTCACCCAAGAGGGGACAAGGCAGGGCCAGCCCTGCTCCCAAAGGACCTGCTCCCATGGGAGGCCACAGTCCCAGAGTTGGACTTGGGTCCCTCCACAGCACCTGGGCAGGGCGGAGCAGGGGAGGGGCGTCCTACCTTCACAGGCCTTGCCATCCGCTGCCAGCTGATAGCCTGCGTGGCATTCACAGTGGGCAAGGCCCCGGAGCACCCGGCACCTGTGCATGCAGCCGCCATTCCCTTCGGCACACGGGCTTCTCCCTGCAGCCATGGACCCGAGGAGGGGGTTGGGGAGAGGGGACCCCAGTGGCTGCAGGGCACCTGCCCCAAGGCTTTTTGTGAGACCCCCCACCCAGTGCTCTCCCTGTCCCTGCTCCAGGCTAATGGGCTGGGCAGTGGGTCTCCCTCCTCCCAGGTTCAGGAAGCCTCTAAGACTACGGGAACACTCTGCAGCCTCAGGACAAGGCCAGCCAGCCCAGGTCAGGCAGCGGCGCAGGCCGGCTCCTCCCACCACCCTCTCAGCCCGGGTGCCAGCGCTGAGACCAGGGTGGTGACCCCCAGCTCTGTGACTCGGACCCCTTCATGCCTACTCTGGGGAGAACCCTAGAGGCCAAGTGGGGACATTCTCTCAGCACCTGCCCCGCCTACAACCCCCATTTCCATATTCTGGAGGACCGCTGAGCCTGCCCGCCGTCACCATCAGCAAAGCCCCTCCTTTCATGCAAGCAGCCCTGAGGACTAGGAGCAGAGTGCCCAACCAGGCCTGGCCGCCCGCCTCCTCCTCCCAAGGGCAGCAAGCCTCAGGTGGGCACCTATGGAAGGGAGGTGGTCCCATCGAATGGGCGCCATGGCAGTGAGGCAGCACCCATCCTGAGCTTCCTGGCCACAGATGTGCCATCCCGGGGCACAGCCAAAGGGGCTGGCCCACAGCCCGCCAGGCTTCTCAGAAGCCTTGGGGGCCTCCTGAAGACCCACTTCCCCCCACAGCCCAGACCCAGCCCAGACAAGGCAGCCCACCCTGCCTCCACCCCCAGGTCCTCCCTCCCTCCCTCCCTCCCTCCCTCCCTCCGGGGCTGGCGGCACTCACGGACACAGCGCCTGCCATCCTCCTGGAGCTGGAAGCCGGGCCGGCACTGGCAGCGGTGCCGAGTGATGGTGAGCTGGACACAGTGGTGCTGGCAGCCGCCATTGCCCAGGGCGCAGGAGCTGATGGCTGGGGACATGAGCGGCACTGCAGGTCAGCCAAGAGGACGCCTGGTCGACAGTCTGTCCCCAGCTGGCATGGAGCAGGTGGTGGCACGGCCACTTCTTCCTGCCCTAGGGCCCCTCCCAGCCACTCCAAGCCCCTCTGCCTTTTCATCTCCATCATCTTGGACGATGGCTGCTCCCTGCCTGGCTCCCAGACCTGGTTTTGGCTTCTCTGCCCACCTACAGGATCCTCAGGACTGAGGGGATTCACTGGACCCTCCGGCCCAGCCTGCTTGAGGGCAGGACGCAGAGGGCTCTGCAGGAGGCCCCACCCAGACAGAAGCCCTGCACCCCCCAGCACAGAGCACCCAACACCAGGGGCCTCTGAGAAGCTGCAAGTGAGGGCTCAGTGCCCCAGGGGTTCACGTCTCCCTGGAGGAGGCCGCAGACTGGCAGGGCAGAACTGAGACCCAGGCATCTCACCATCTTGGTCCTTAGGCCAGGCCACGGGGCAGGTCAGGGCAAGGGGCAGGTCCCCAAGGTGGGGACGGCGTGGACAGCTGCCAAGGGCCACAGGCCTGGCCCCCAGTTCCCGGGGGACCAGCACAGCTCCTACCCACCCCAGGCCAGGCCACACCTCACACCTGACCCCACTTAGTGCCCACGCCCCCATTCCTTCATGCACATTCCGGCAGGGTGTGGGCTATGGGGTCAGGGTGGTCCAGCGGGTGCCTGTACCTGGCCGATGGACGGGGCCGTGTCCTGAGCTGGACCAGGGAGGTGGGGAGAAGGCACTGTGCCAGGCTCAGCACCCAGGGTGGGCACCGGACCTCTGCCAAAAGCGGCAGCCAGCTCCTCAGCGGGGATTAGGTTACCGTCGGGTCTCTGGCAGTCATCTTGTGGTTAGGGAGGGAGTCAGCCCCGAGCTCAGAGGGAAGCCGCAAGAACATGCCACTGCTGTGCCCCGGCAGGGGAGGCTGTCTGCCCAGGCCTGTGCCCAAAGCAATCCCAAGCCCCATTACTAAAGCGCTGAGACTCTCTCTAGGGAGAAGGCTTCCCTGAGATGCCACCTCCTCCAGGGCACCTCCTCAGGGGCTGCCACCATCCCTGAGGGTGACTGGCCCTGGGGCCAAAAACTGGGGAAACCGTCTACTGTCACTGCGTGGTGGGTGGGGTGCCAGGCACCACTGAGGTAGGCTGGTCCGAGGTCACCAGAGCGGGCAGCGGCTGAAGCACCACAGTTGCCTCTGGGCCCTGAGATGGCAAAGCCCCCCCAGAGCAAGCGGGCTTTAAAAACCCACAGTGCTCGCCATACCTGCCTCCCACTGGAGAGCAGGTGCTGAGGGTCCCCTCCTGGGGCAGAGTCAGCCTCGGCGGGCGGCTGGGAGTGGCAGTGATGGCTCTGTCTCCTGCCCCACGTGGCCTTGGCACATGCAGGCTGCGGGGAGCCCAGCAGAACTGACGTGAGCCCGTCTGCCTCTGAGCCCCTTACCCCACCCACCTCACCCCCATTCTGCCCAGACAAGATGGGGGCTGTCCTGGCCCCCAGGCCCAGCCTGCCTCACCTGAGACTGCTCTGCTGAAGCCACTGCCACGGCTCCAGGGGCCTCTGAGCATGGCCTGGGCTGACCCTGCCCCGGGGGCCTTGTTTACGGTGCACACTGCAGCAACGGCACCCCTGTCTGGAACACGTAATAGGAACCAGAGCCCCTCCTGGCAGGGCCAGGCAGGCACAGGGGCACAGGCCCAAGGCAAGGAAGCTGGGCTGTCAGGACCCAGGCAGCTGTGGCAGAGCAGGGAAGGAAACGGACTTCCCGTCAGCTCCTCCAGATAGGCAGAGCCCCGAGATGTACCCAGGGACCACCAGGCAGTGCCCACTGGAGCCCACCACGGTGGCAGGAGTTCGGGGCCGGGGTCCCCCTGGAGCCCATCCTGTCGCCGCTCCTGTCCACACAGTTCTAACACCCCAGATGCTCCAAAGCTGTGCATAGCCGGAGCCAAGCCCCATGCCATCACGTGTATCCTGTGCCATGGATTCCCGGAAAGCTGAACCAGGCAGATTTTTGCCGGCATGGGGAGGTGCAGCTCAGGAAGGGCCACCTCTGCGTGGCCGGCACCCAGCACTGCTGGGGATGTTTCATGACACCTCGGGACACTGTGAGACCCGGCTGCAAAACACACAGCCCAGCCCTCCCTCCCAGGCCACAGCCAAAAGCTCGCACCTGCTATAGCCCTGCAAAGCGGACCAGGCTCAAACCCGGCGAAGCTGAATGTGTCCCTCAGACGTGGACGGGGGATCTGCCTCCCAGTGGGGGAGATCCTCCCTTGTCTGTGCTCAAGCCCTCACCCGGCTCCCCGGTGGATAGACGCAGGCTCCACGGCAAGCCCCCTGTGTCTTTCACTTCTTTAATACTGAAGTGGTGTTCGCCCAAAGCAAAGTCCCCGCCCGGTTAGGGTTCGATGGTCCGTGTGTAATCACACCAGGAGCTCTGGCAATCCTGCCCGGCGTTTTGTCCCCTCCTGACTCCGGAGTCGTGTTCTGCCAACGCCTGACTTTGGTCCCTGCCCACTTCCAGATGACATGCAACTGACTGTTGTTGGGGGACAGTCTATGATGAATGGATTGTGTCCCCCCAAAATCCCTAAGTTGGAGCCCAAATCCCCAAGAGGAATGGATCTGGAGACAGGTTTTCTGAGAGAGCACAGGCTGGGGCCCTGACCAGGTACGATTTGTGTCCTCGTGGGAAGAGACACAGAGCACTCTCTCCGTTAAGGCAGCCAGAGCTGCCTGGGTCACCCTAACTCCCCAGTTTGCCAATTCTAGGGATGTCACTCCAGCCCAGGCAAGTGCAGGTCCACTTGGGCTGGGCTGCAATTCCAACCTCTGCCCGCAGGAGGTGCCGCCACCCAGGAACCCTCCAAGTGTGAGGCTGCAGCTCTGCAAAGGGTAAGGGGCCTCCTTCTGCCTGAGCTGGCTTGGTCTCTGCGCTCCAAGGCACAGAAGGTGGGGCATCCGTGGCAAGGCCCAGCATCTGAGCTGACTGAGGGCTGCGCCCACCAGCTCCTCTGCCCAAGCCTCCAAACCCAGCCCAGTGGTTTCAGGGCCAGCTCTCCAGGGTGGCTCTGGTCCCTGTGGGTTTCACAAGGTTTATAATTACTGCCCTCAAATTGGGATGGTTTCTAGGTCCTGAGTCTCCTGCCACGTGTGGTCAGTGGACCACAGCCCTGCCTTCTAGGAAGCCCTCCCTCTGTTGGGGACAGGGCCAGGGTGGCAGGTGGGGTGGTGTTCATCCCCCAGCTCCCTGCAGGCGGCCCCACCCTGTGTACCTGCCCTGTTCTCAGCCCTCTCGATGGGGCCTCCCCGTGGCACAGGGGCACTACTCACAGTCCGTGAGAGTGGCTGTCCTCGTCCACACACCAGGATATCTGAGCCCATGATGTCACCCCAACAACACAGAGTACCAGGCAAACGCTGGCTCTTCAGCACAGCTGCCAGGAATCCAGAGACAGGGCAAGGAGGAAAACGCCGGCACCCTCTCCATGGACCCAGGCTAGACCCCATAGCCCACACCCCAGCAAGGCCCCCAACCCCCACTAGGGACAGATTGTCCTGCCCAGTGCCCGCCTTTCTGGGGGGTCAGCTGGGCTGGGAGGGAGGGCTGGACTGTGTGTTTTGCAGCCGGATCTCACAGTGTCCCGAGGTGTCATGAAATATCCCCAGCAGTGCTGGGTGCCAGCCACGCAGAGGTGGCCCTTCCTGAGCTGCACATGCTTGGCTGCGATGGTCCAGACCCACTGGCCAAGGTGACGGGCGGGTCCCTAGAGACAAGTGCTAGCAGTGCTCTAGTGGCCTACGAGGGGCCCGGGCACTTCAGGGAGTGGTGGGCGGCAGCAGCACCACACACGTGGATGGAGGACAGCTGCAGGGGCAGGAGCGGCAGGGCGCAGAGTGGGCACCCAAGCCCGCAGCGCCCACACCAACACATGCGCCTACCCGCTGCTGAGCCTCAGCTCCAACCCGCCCTCCTGGGGGCGACCCTGACCCAGGGCTACATGAGCGACACACTGGTTCAGCTTCTCAGAGTATGTAGGAAGGCGTCTCTGTTGACACTGCTGTCCCCGGAGGGCAGGCCTGGTCTATATCGTCCGGACAGCAACCTGCTGCCCAACAGTGCCCGGCACCAGCACACTGGCCAGCAGTCAGATGGAAGCAAGGCAGCCGGCCCTGGCCCTTCAGCACAGCCAAAGGCATGGCCCGGGCCTCTCCCACCCTCCTCCCCGCCCCACATAACGCCCTGATTCGGCCCCTTCTGCTGGTGTCACCTCTTTGCCCCTGATTCTCACCCAGGTGGAGCACCAGCTCCCCTTCCCAGCAGCCCGAGCGCCCAGGCTTCCTGCTGGGTTTCTGAACACAGGCTGGGGTGGTGGCCTCTCTGGGTTGGGGTACAACCATCCCACACCCACCCCTGTTCCCAAGCACTCTGCTCCACCTCCACCAGCACCTCTGGCGTTCTAGACTCAGGCAAGGCCACAGAAGCCCCTTCCCATGTGCAGAAGCGCAGGGTGGTCTCCAGGGCTGAGCGGGGGCTGCCCCATCAGCAGCTCTTCCCCCTGCTCCTGCAGGCTCGGCCCAGGCCAGCCCCTTGCACCCACAAGGCTGGGAAGGCAGTCTCCCATCTGCAGCTGCAGCCTGGGTTGGGTTTTGCAGGACCTGGGTCTGCACAAGTGTGCTCTGTGGAGCAGCCTGGAGCTCACACAGTCAAGCTGCCTGCCAGCAGCCTCCCCCAGGCCAGGCCTCCCCTCCAAGAAGGAGCCAAGTGGAGGCAATGCAGCCCCTCACTGCCCTGATGGGGAGACCCAGGCCGGGGGAGGGAAGAGTCTGCCCAGGGCACACAGCACACCCAGGCAGGGCCGGGAGGCCACCCCAGCCATGTGCATATGAGAGTCCATCCAACTCTGGGGGACACAGGCGGGGGTGGCCAGGCCACCAAGGGGTGACAACAGAGTCCCCTCTCCCACAGTGTCCAGCCCAAAGGCCTGATGGGCATGGGGCCAAGAGTGGGGGAAGGACAGAGGGCCAGCTCCTCCACGGGGTCGCACAGGGTGTTGCAGCTGGAGGGACCCCTGCTGGTTGAGCCAGTGACTTCTGTGGGCCTCAGGGGGGCCCCGGGAGTGCTACTCAAGCCAGGGACACGAGAGAGCAGCCCTGTTCAAGGCTAGGGCCCAGAGGTCAGCCAGGCCGCCTCCAGGAGCACGAGGCCACTAGCTCGGTGTTAGCCAGAAGGGAGGGACTCTCCTCTCCGGGCATTGCCTGCTGGCACCTGCAGGGTGTCACGGAAAACCAAGAATGATGCCCGCAGACACAGGCCAGACCACTGCCCCCCACCACCGGGAAGGCACACTAGGTCCTGCTCTTCCACCCCAGAGACTGGGCACCCGGGAATGGAGCACACCAGGACTGGTGGCCTGGACTGGGGAGGAGACCCACACTCTCACGGTGCGGGAGCCAATAGCAACGAGCTTCTGGTAGACTCTCACTTTTGAGAAGGGAACCCTTTTAGCGTCTGATTTCCGTCTCTAGAAGGCGGGGAGCTGTGGAGGCTGCACCTTTCCTGCCATCTCCCTACTTCAGAGCCAGTTCAAGTGCGTTTCAAGGCCCCTCTGGAGTGTGTCAAGGCCCCCCTAGGGTGCAGCCTCCTCTGAGGACTTCCCAGATTGCTCCAGGCCCTCAAGGTGTGAGCACCCTGAGAGCTGCGGCCTGTGGGGAAGGACGGGCAGACCTTCGTGTGGATTCTCCACCCAGCCTCTCTGCAAGCTGCTGGGGGTGTCCAAGACAGCAGAGGGTCAGGCCTGCGGGGCTTGTTCCTTGCCCCTGACACAGCCCCAGGAGGGGTCACAGCACCCTCCCGGCCAGGAGGACCCCTGCCAGCCTGGAGGAGGGTCTCCGCAGCTGGCCCATGGGCATGGGGGAGGCCACTCCCGAGGACGGGCTTGGGCAGAGGGTGCAGTGTGAGCTGAGGCGCCCCCACCCTGGGGCAGGGAGGTAAGGCAGTCAGGGGGAAGGTCCCCGAACTCCCCGGGGCCAGAAGTCTAGCCGCACCCCTGTCAAGCCCCCACAGAGTCCAGGCAGCCTGGCAGGGACGGGGTGGGCAGTGCCGTCTGACAGGCCCAAGCAGAGCTGCCACAGGAAACCCCCTAACAGGGTAGCCATGGCCAGGAGCTGAGATGCCCCAACCCCCTCCCCATTCCAGGCCAGCGTCTCAGGCCCACGGCCTGGCCAGGTCCCTCAACAACAAGAAGGAGCTTGGATGGTGAGGCTCCCCTAAAACAAGCACACCTGGCTCTGCCTGGGAAGAGGCCCCAGGGGCGCCCTCTCCACTCTAGAAGCTTCTCAGGCCCCCACAGAAAAGGCAGCTGCCACCAGGCCCAGGCTGACAAACCTGCACCAGTCCTGAAAAAAACACTCCAGGGAGAAGAGCAAGCGGCCCTGCCCTGCCGGCGTCAGCTCCCAGGGACTCCCCATAATGGAACCCCCCACAGCTCTCATGCAGAGGCCACTATGGGCAAGGGAGGAGGGGGACAACACGCCCCAGCGAGTGCCAGGAAGGGGGTCTGGATGGTGCCCAGGCAGGGTGGCCTCAGGATGGGGCTAGTCCTCACGTGTCCCCAGGCCAGGGGTCCCCAGGTCACCAGCAGGGACTTACAGGAGGGGAAGGCATTTCTCCAACTCGACCCAGCCAAAGGCTGCTGGGACCCAAATTACCCTCCTTGTCGAAGCAACGGTCACCACCCATTCCCAGGGGGTGAAACTCCCAGCACCTTCCGTAGCGAAACAGGCGTGTCGCAGCACCAGGGCTGTATTTCCGGAGGTTCCGGAAGCCTCGGTGTAAAGGCCTTGCTGGGAGCCTCAGTCAAGTGGAAGAGGGGTGCAGCTTGAGCTCACAACTCTGCGTCCAGCAGGCCCCGAGTTTGTGAAGGCACGCAGGTAACAGGCCGGCACGCAGTCGAGCCTCCTCAGGGCCCTCCGAGGGCGAGGAGGCCAGGAGCTGGGCACTGGTCCTGGAGGAGGCTGGGGAACACTCACTCAGGGAGCACCCTTCAGGGAGACAGCCAGAGGGCCTCCAAGGTCCCAGGAGCCTGCCAGGCTGTGCAGGCCCTGCCCAGGGGCCCTGGCATCTGGCCTTGAGAAAATCCTTTAAAATGGGCGAGTACCACAGATGAACACTTCTGGGGCCCCAAGTGTGCGAACACCCTGAGGGCAGGCTCCTGGGAGGCAGATCTCAGAAGGCCCGGCTACAGGAGGCTACAGGAGGCGGCTCCAGCGAGTGAGTGACAGGTGGGTGGGCGGTGGGTAGTGGTGGATGGGGTGGTCCTTGCCCCTTTTGAGGGTTTCAGGGAAGGTCATCATCATGCAGATGGTGAAAAGAAAGCCTAGGAGAGTGAATGTCCCAATGACCCTACTCACAGTAGGAGGCCAGGAGAGGGGAATAGAGGCCAGGAGAGGCCCCCGCTGGACGGACACCTGGGCTCCCCTTCTACAAGGATGACCCTGCCTGAGAGGAGGAGTGAGGAAAGGACATGCACCCCAAGAGCTGGCTCCTCCAGCACGCCTGAGGGGACCAGGGGGCCCAAGGCTAAAGTGCCCCGGGCTCCCAGAAGCCCCTGCAGCGGGCGGCAGGCTGGGGCCGCACCCGTCTCTGTTGTCCTGAAGTACATCACAACATTCCAGCATCTGTTTCTACTTTCAGATCCAGGGAAACGTCACACAGCGGCTGCCTGGATCCCTGCAGTGGCTGGGACATGTGAGTGTGTGCCGGGGGGGCCCCCCGGGGCTGGCAGGCTGCCCTGCCACATTGCAGGCAGGACCGGGAGGGAGAGAGGCTGCTCAGAGCCACCCTGGGCCCCACTCTGGGCCTCCAAGGCCAAAAGAAGGGGCATCCTGACCTCCTGTCACCCAGAGAATGAACCCCCATACCTCCCAGACAAAGGCCAGCAAGACAGCCAGTCCTGTCCTTGCTAGGGACGCCTGTGTCCACAGCCAGCCAGGAGCAGGGCTGCCAAAGGGCAGGGGCGACTGACTGGCTACTTACTCTTCACCCCAGACTCCTGGGTTCCAACCTCCTGCTCAGCCCTGCACCAGAGCCTCAGGGCCTGGCCCCCCTCCTTCCCTCTACCCCTCCCTCCCTGCAGCCACAGTCTGTGTCCCTGGCACCTCCTCCAGCCCATTCCCACAGCCAAGAGACCCCGCAGAGGAAGCTGAGGGCCAGGGTCTCGCGCCTCGGTCAGCTGTACCCCACCTGCAGCAGCCCACACCCTCCAGGCTCCCAAGGCTGGGCAGGGGGCACCTGGGCTCACAAAGCCTGGCTCTGCAGGTGAAAGGTGGCCTCACGCAGCCCCTGCCCTGGACCAGGCCTCCTCGGCCAGCCTCCTGTGCCACCCAGCAAGCAACCCAGGTCTCCCTCAAATCTAGGGGACATCACAGCCAGGCCGGGGTCCCTGCTGACCAACCACGGGGGTTTCTGTTGCAGAGAATCTTTAATAGCATCTCCATGACGGGCCCCCTCTCCTGTCCACTGGGAGAGGCCTCAGCATTGCAGCCAGGCTTAGTGTGGCTGCAGAGGGCCTACAGCAGGACCCTGGGGGCAACTTGGCACATTAGGACACGTCCCTTTACCGGCCTGAGCCTGGGGCAAGGCGTGGCCAGGATTCCACAGAGCCACACTCCGCAGGAAGGAGCCACCGCCAGAGCGGCCTCTGCCTCTCCATGTCCATAGCCACCGTCTCAGGCCAGGCCTGGGCACACCCCGGAGGGCAGGGTCTCCAGACGACACTCACCCAGGCAGGTCCTGCCGTCAGTGTGGAGACGGAAGCCGGGCTTGCACTCACAGAGGTAGGAGCCTGGGGTGTTCACGCACCGGTGCTGGCAGCCACCGTTGTGGGTTCTGCACTCGTCCACATCTGGGCAGGAATGGGGCCGGGTCAGCACTGGGCACTCTCTCCTTCCTGCCTCGCTGACACAGCCCCCCAGGTGCTGGGGACCCAGACCCAGGACCCTCCTCTGCCTCGAGGGCACTGCCCCTGGGCCCCTCACTCACACCTGCTGGAGCCCGGGCAGAGGAGGCAGACTCTGTCCTCCCACCTCAGCTGCCTGCTCGGGAAGGAAGAGGCACTGCCTCAAGAGCCGACCAGAAGGCGGGGAGCAGAGGAGGGTCCCTAGCGCCCTTCAAGACTGAACCTGGTTTTCTTAAGTCCAAATCCCCAAAGTGCTTCCTGGGCAGTGTCAACCACTCCACCGGGACTCACTAGCCCAAAAAGAGAAACTGATCGCTTTTGAGATGACCATGTCCAGGCTGTGGGGGAAGCCTGAGAAAGGGGAGGGGAGGGGAGGGAGGGAGGGCGTGCTGGCTTAGAGTGTCACTGCAATGCGTAGCCATCTGGAGCTTCCCAGGGAGGCCCTGTCTGGAAACAGGGTCTTTGCAGCTGTCCTAAGTTCAGGCTCGAGACAAGATGGTTGAAGAGGAGGCTGGGCCCTAAAGCCAATGCCCATGTCCCGCCAAGACACACAGGCCCGTGTGAAGACCACGCAGACCGTAGTGATGAGGCCACAAGCTGAGGATGGCTGGAAGGAAGAGGCCAGAAGGTCCTCTCTCCAGGCTTCCAGGGCACATGGCCCCACTGTCACTGAGTTCGGAATCCTGGCCTCGGATGGTGAAGAAGAAACTCCCACTGTCTGCAGATACCCCATTTGTGGTGTTTATTCCAGCAGCCCTGGGAGGCCACCGCAGCTGGGGACAGCCCGGGCCCCCCATACCCACAGGCTCCCCGAGCAAGGACCCTGAAGGGCAGCCCCACCACCTCCCAGGCAGGACCCCTGCTGTGCTGGCATCCTCTCCGGTGATGTGCCACCCACCATCCCGGGGCAGCCCAGACACCGTCAGACCCTCCCTGCCCGAGGCCCAGCTCAGCTTAAAACTACACATCCTCAGGTTCCAAACTCAGCTGAGGCCCCACTCAGAGGCAGGAGAGGAGAATAGGAGGGCAGGAAGGGGTGAGGGCAGCCTAGTCCTGAGCCTCTCCATGCATGCGCACCACCTGGACTTCCACAGCCTGGGGACCGGCAGAATAGCAGCCCAAGGCCACGGACGCCTCACAGGACCCTCGTCCACCCCCTGCTTACCAAGCCCCCCGAATAAGCGTGGCTGGAGAGAGTGGGGAGGGATCCAGGGGCGGGTCCACTTTTGAGAGGACGCCTCCCACCGCAGGACACCTGGGCCCACCTGCTCCTGTCCCCAGCCCCGTGGTACAGGCCACCCGGAAAGTGCTGGCTGGAAGCCCAAAGGCCCAGCAGGCTCCCCGGATGCAGCACGAGCTGAGAGCCAGCGGTGCTCCAGGCATCCTTCCCTGAGACCCTGCCGGGCTGGAGACCCAGCGGCCTGCACCCAGGCCCCGTCACCACTCCGTACAGGAACATGGCAGGAAAGCACAGATGACAGATGTGGAGAAGGCTTCAGGCCCTCCTCCCACCCTGCAGGCCCACATCGCCAAGCTGGGCCTCAGGGGAGTCCAGCCGGCAATCGAGGCAAACACAACTGAGCAGACAGGCGGCAGGCCACAGGCCTCCCGGACACCTGCGTGTGTGGCCCCTGGGTTGCACCCTTGGGTCGGAAGCCCTGCAGCTCCTGCGCCCTTGGCAGCCGGCCAGAGCACCCAGCACACAGGGGCTCTCAGAGAAGAAGTCAGTCGCTGGGACAGACAGGGCAGCGTGGCCTCAGAGAACATGCCATGATCCTCACCGGAGAGACTTCCAGAAGCACTGCAGGAGGACTCTCCTAGAAGCCTGGGGCCTCTGGGCATGGCAGAAGCTCTGGAAGCCAGTAGTGCCCCGGCCAGAGAGGTCAAGGCTAATGTGAGACAGAGACCACGTGGGCCACATGGACAGCACGGACCGACCATGGGAGGTGCTGGGAGAGGAGGGCAAGAGGCCAGCACACAGGCCAGAGCAGACACAGGAGTCGCCCCAGGCACCGCAGTCCATACCTGCTACTCAGGCCAGGTGACACCTTTTACCCCACAACCTCACCCACCCTGCAGCCAGGTTCCCAGATCCGAGGAGAGGGAGGGGCCCCTGAGAAACCCCAGGGAGCCAGCATGGGGAGAAAGACACACAGGTGCTCTTCCGGAAGCTACGAGCCAAGCACCTGGGGCCCGCCGTCCAGGGTGACAATAGAGGCCCTGCCCAGTGACCTTGCCTCGAGAGAGAAAGCATGGCCTTGCTGGGAGAAAATACTACGATTTCGAAGGGCAAGTCCTCGACCACGTGGGAAACTGGCTGGCCGGACGCCTCCAGGGCTGCACAGAGCCCCTCTCTCATCTGCCTGACAATTGCCAGGTCCACGATGAGCTGTGACCACCAAGGCCTTCCCACCACCCTCCAGTTCCAACCCCAGTCCCCGCGAAAACGCCCACCTTCAGGGCTCCATCCTTAAACTCCCGCGTGGAGCACTGCTGGCGGGTGCAGGCGGCCAGCGGTGACACACACCGAGAAGCTCTTCATAGCCAGCGCCAAGCCTGAGTCAGTGGACGGTGCCCACCCACCAGGCTGTGCCTCCCCTACCTACGAAAACCCTGCTGCCCATCCACGTTCTGAGAATGTGCCTGCAGCCCAAGATGACACCAACAGCCCCGGGAGGCCGGGGTCTCTGTCTGGGACCTCCAGGGCCATCTACTTCCTGCATAAGCCACACACATTCTGGGGGGACCCCCAGGGCCCCTAGGCACTGAGGCTGCCTCCTAAAGGGGGCTGCAAATGAGACCAGGAGCCCCTCTCCACCTGCACCACGAAGTCAGTCACAGCAACCTTCGCAAAGGCTACGACGGTTTGCGGGAAGAAGCTGGAAAGCAAAGGGTTAACGGGCCCCCAACAGTGCCCCAAAGAAGCTTGAGGGAACAGAGGGACCCGGTACCCTCTAAGGGAGTCAGCTGGGAGACAGACTCATGCCCACTCAGCAGGGCAGGGTGGGTGGCACCCACCTGAGGGGCTCAGGAGGGCACCCCTTCCCCCTGAGCTCAGATCCCTCCATCCAAGACCCCCAAGAGGATCTCTGAAAAGTCACGATGTCCGTGTCCTCCTGTTGTGCAGACGGGAACACTGGGACTCCATCCTCCTAGCTGGGCTCAGCCTCGCTGCTCTCAGCCACCAGTCCCTTCAGAAATTCCACGCTCCCTCTGAAAATGCACAGGCCCAGGCGGGTCAGGCCAAGCCCTTTCAACCCCAGCTGCCTGGTCTGGCCGTGTCAGGGGTCCGTGGCGGGAAGACAGGCCGGTGGGTGGGGGCACTGAGGCACACCCAGGCTTCCAGTGCCTGCTGCTTGCTGTCGGCCAGGATCAGCTTTTGGAAACACTGAGCCAGCTCAAGGGTGAAGGATTTGGGGCCTCCCACTTGGACGACAGAGGCCAGCAGGGACAGGCACTCGGCCAGACAACCTCCTGCTGGAGTCCCCTCCACTCTGAGATCTCGGCCCCTTTGAACTGAGCAAATCCCCTTAATAAAAATGCTTTTCACTCAGAAAGCAAGGCAGGAAGAACGCATCACCCAAACCCTCTCCACCCGACTCCCAAGGCACCCACGTGATGGCAGGACTGAGCTGTTCTCAGGCGGCTCCAAGGACCTGCAGGTGCCGAGCCCGTGACCCTGGCTGTGGCTGTGACCTGAAGGGCCATAGGTGCAGTGGTCTGTCAGGACAATGTGGTCAGCTGAATAACGAATGTCCCCCAGAGATGTCCACATCCTCATCCCCAGACCCGCACATGGCAAAGGGACCTGCCTTTGCAGATGGACTGAGCTGAGGATCTGGGATGGGAGGTTATCCTGGCATATCCAGGTGGGTTCAACACGGTCTCAGGGTCCTTACAGGAGGGAGGCAGGAGGGCCAGCAGGCGGGGAGGAGGAGACGTGACCATGAAAGCAGAGGTCAGAGGGCGGGGGGGATTGGCAGGTGCTGTGGTGTCGGCTTTGAGGATGGAGGAGTGGCCGCAGCCCAGGAATGCGGGCGGCCTCTATAGGCTGAAAGGGGCGTGAGACGGACTCTCCCCCAGGGCCTCCAGAAGGAGCACAGCCCTGTCCACGCCTTGATTTTAGCCCACTTTGGACTGCGCCCTGCGGGACTGTCAGGGAATAAATCCATGCTGTCCTAAGCACTGAGTGCAGGTTATTTGTCACTGCACCATGGGACACAAATGCAGAGTGCAGCACTGTCATCTCAGGAGTCACAGAGGCTCGGGCCATCTGGGCTGGAAATCAGGCTCCCAGCGCCAGCTCTGGCAGCCCGGCCCCTGGCTCCTGTGCCCTCTGTGGGGCTGGTTGCATAGCCAGGTTCACGAGAGCCACGTGCCCTGCAGAAGCTGTCTCCTTGGGTTCCCTCCTCCACAGGCCTGTGCTCTGGGACCAGCCATGCCACCTACACACAGCCCATGCTGTGCACAGAGCCTGCAGTGGGACCAGGGTCCCCATGAAGCTCTGGCACCCGGGACCCAGAGGTGAGCGTGAGGGCCTGAGCCTGAGGTGAACGGGGCCCCGGGAAAGGCTGAAAGGAGCTTGGAGGCCCCTCGCGTGCTGACCGCTAAGAGTCAGACGACAAAACCTGCTCATTCCAGGGACAACGGCCAGGCCTGGAGGCAAAACCACTGTCCCTGTCCAGCCCCAGGCCAAGCCCCACACTGGGCAGGGGTCAGGCCAGAGAGGCCCCAGACAGCTGCGACATGAACCCGGGAGCCATCTGGTGGGAGAGGAGTGGGCTCTGAGCGCAGCTATTTTAAGGAACAGCTGGGCCAGGCTCCTGCTTCCGTGCTCGGCTAGATACGTGACTATGGACTTTGCAGCCTCACCACAGGACCATCCGCACACTGGCACACTGTGACACACTGTGCTAACATGGGCTGGTTCCCGGGAGCCGATGGGA